AATGATATAATGAACATGAACATGACGATGAAGGACGACATAAAAGAAGTATAGAAATAATGATACCTAATAATTAGAGAATAACAATGAATATAGTGGAAGTTATTACAAGTATTTTTAGATTCATTAAGTTGTTTATGATAATAAGCAACTTAGATACGATATTGTTCTAATTCATTCTTGCTTTCGTTATCTTATACATCATTATAATTTTCACTTTATCGCTGTTTTATCGACATACATCTGATTGTACATATTTCTAAACATTCCTATTCTTTCTCCTGATTAGATTCAATAATAACCATCTTCTGCATCTTTGATGTTGTTATATTAACGTGAATATGATAAGATAAACATCAAAGAACATATAAAAAATAAACGAAGACCAGATCAAATTACTTAAAAAATCATTCAATCTTAAGATTTATAATAAAATCCTTGTAAACATGCACATATTTGTATCATAGTATTCAACCAAACAAAATTTCATCTTTGATACATAAGAAAAGAAAAGTTTGTTGCATGTCTATATGTTATTGTCATATAAAATACGAATGTATTCAATAATCGACATATTTAATCATCTGTTGACACGCGTTTTTATTTAAAAAAAAAGAGAATTTCTTTATCACAACCATGATATGACAATCAAAAGAAAAAACAAAACAACTAAAACTTGATATTTTCTTTCTGATGAAAAGACTTACATAATGTTTTATTCTTATCACCAATTATTTTATAATTTGGCTTGATCTTTAAATAATACCGATAATTTTTGTGCTAACATCACATTGCCTTTGGCTTTTACCTTTCCCTTAGCAAAAAGCTATGAAAACAAAGAAAGAAAAAAAGTAATAATATACAGAGAACAAAAACTGTCAATGTTAATACATACTGCAGGTGCACTAGCCTTGCCTGAAGCTAAATCAACAAAATCATTATCATCAACTGTAATTGTAACTTGAGCCGTTGTTCCTTCTTGAGGTTTACCTTCATAAATACTACCTTTTTTTCCATCAATAGCTAGACAGACAGACAGAAATAAATAGAAATGTATTCATGAAAATAATAATTTTTGTCTTCCGTTGACTTACTCCAACTTTGTTGAACCTTTCCATCTTTTGTTATGTCAAATACAATAATAGCTCCAATTTTCTTAACAAGATCCGGTTGACTTTTAGCACGTTTATTTATTTCATCAAAAGCTGTTCTAGCTTTCAAATCTACTCCTGATGATTTCGTTGTTGTTGTTGTTGTTGTACTTTTAGAACTTTCCTAAAATATTTCATTGAATAAACATTATCATAAAATATTCCTTTTTTTTGTAATACCTGAGTAGCACCTGGTGAATTTGTATTAAGAACAACCTTATGTAGATCCATGTATCCACCGGTTAATACTGTTTGATTTGATTCTGGAACCTATTACAACGAAATAAATAATAAAACAAAAAAAAAAGTATTTTTTGAAACAAACTTTTGATTCGAAAAAGATTCGATTTCCTTCACACCACATATGTGTTTCAATAGTTTGACCTGGATCGACAGGTTTATTGAAACGAACCTATAAAAATATCTATTAATTATAGCTTTTAATTAGTAAATCTTATTTTACTTTTGTAGCTTTAAATAGTGTTGGATCATCATTAGCATAGGTATGTAAAACATGTCGAACGGCATGACCAAATGAACATAAACCATGTAGAATAGGTCGTGAAAAGCCTAGACAAAGAATTTAATACTATTCTAAATATAGATATGATATTTAATACTATACCAGCTACTGATGCAAATGAAGGATCAATATGTAGTGGATTTTCATCACCAGTTAAACGATATAATGCTGCTTGATCAATACTTGTTGTTTCTCGATAAACTTGATCAGCTTTTCGTTTTGGTGCTGCAACTGTTGGTCGTTGATTTTCACTAGTTTTTTTACCACCAAAATTACCCGAACCAACAGAAAAAATAACAAACTGATTGAGTGAAATTAATGTTTCTGTTTCATCAAACATTTCAACTAGAATAGATGACAAAAAAAAAGAAAACAATTAACCGAAAAGTAATTAGTATAATTTAAACTACCATCATAAATAAGAACAGCGCCAGAACCTTTATCAAGTAAATCAACAATTTTTCCTTTTAATGTCATAGTACCCGATGTTGGTAATGGTTTATATAATTCAATATATTGTTCACCATGAAGAACCTGTTAAGATCAAAAAAAAACAGAAAGAGAATATGTAAGTTTATGTATTAAATAAAATTTACTCGAGTTAAATCAATCTCAAGACCTAATTTTCCTGATGTAATCATAGGTAATGATAATGATTGTGCTGGTATAACAGAAAATGTTGGTAAAACAGAAAAATTTTCATGATTTTCATATAGAAAACGTAATGAATTTGGTTGACGTAATGAACAACCAACAGCAAGTGCATATAAAATAACTTGATTTGATGTATAAGAAAATGTTTGAGTAAAAATATCATTTGTTGTTTTTTCATCATTATTACTAATTGTTTCGACTACATTCATTATATGTGATACTTGATCGGCTTGTGTTAAATGATAGAGTGGTTTAGCAAAACTAATTATATCTTTCCAATTATCACGTACATCTTCAGCTGTCATTGGTGCATTTGCACGACGTACCATTGCACCAGATGATTTTTGTAAACGAACTTTACCTATCCATCCACCAGCTACTTCAAATAATGAACCTGTATCGGAACATGATTCATGACATAAATATAAAACAAGTGGCATAACAAATTCTGGTTTTAAATTTTCTTCAGCACCCGATGGTAGAAGACCTTGAGTTAAACGAGAAAAAGCTGTTGGTGCAATAGCATTACATGTTATATTATATTTAGCTCCTTCAAATGAAAGAGTATTTGATAAACCAACTAAACCCATTTTAGCAGCACTATAATTTGCCTAAATAGAAATTTTATTAAATAATTTATATATATGTATATGTTGTTTTGTTTTTGAACTTTTTGCTAGACTATCATGTCAAATATTAATAATCTTTTTGCGTTCGATTTTTGTCGACAAGTACGAAATGTATAGATAAGAAGAATCGTAAGAGAATATGAACGGAAATTGAGATATAGACTATTTTACTATAAGAGTATCCCGGAACACTTCACTTTCTCGGTAAAATCGGGATGATAACTGTATATATATATTTCATTCATTTTAGTATTATAAAAAGTAAATTTCTAACCTGTCCAAAATTGCCATAGAGACCTGATGTTGATGTTGTAAAAATAACTCTTCCAAATTGTTGTTTTCGCATATATGGCCAAGCTGCATGTGTTAATGAATAAGCGGCGCGTAAATGAATACGATGTACAAGATCCCAATCTTGTTCAGTCATGTTAACAAAACTTTTATCACGTAAAATTCCTGCATTATTAACCTGTAAATATTTAAAAATTATTTTTTAAAAATAAAGAGTTTTAATTTTTCCATTATAATTACAAGAATATCTATGCGACCAAAATTATCGATTGCGGTTTGTATAACAGCTTTTCCATTTTCAACTGAATTGTAATCGGCTACAGCTTTTCCACCACTTGCTTGAATAAGTTTAACAACTTCATCAGCTGGTCGTGATGATTGACTACTATCACCTGATGTATTTCCACCTAAATCATTAACTACGACGCTTGCACCACGTGCACCAAAAGCAAGTGCATATTCCTACAAAATATAATTTTTTTAGAAATCTATCAAATTTTATTTTTCTTATACTTTGCCTAAACCATTTCCAGCACCAGTAACAACAACAACACGACCAAGAAAACGAAGCATATCTAGAAAGACAGAATTATATTCTACGTCTGTCATTCATTACAAAAAAAGAAATATTGATTTTTATACAAAAAGAAGAAAAGTTAGAACTATAAAATTTTAGAGTGTTTCTTCTTGTGCAAATGACCAATTCCATGGTATTGATATAGTTCCATTTTGTGCTAAATTATAATTTTTATCAATTTTAAGTCGACATTGTTTTAAAATCTTTAAAAAACGTTCATGTTCATTAAGTAATCGTTGACAACATTGGATAATTTCACTTTTTTTTATTCGTTGATTAATTAATATATCAGTTAATTGAAATTGTTTTTGAACTTTTTTAAGTAAATTTAATTCTTTTTTAACATCTTTTTCATATAAATTTCTTGTTTCTTCAGCATTTTCTCGATTATTTACCATAAAATCTAATATATCCATTGTTGCATCATATGCATTTATTTGAAAAAGTCCACTATTTGTTAATGATGGTTCTGAACTAAATGGATTAATAAATAAATAAAATTTTTTCCAAGATTCTATTCTATGTGCTTCATGATGACGATTTAAATCGAGGTGATGAGATAATTGTAAAAGATGATATAAATATGTATGAGCACGACATAAATATTCAGAATCAGGATCTTGTCGAATTTCAATTCCACGAAAATATTCACGTAGATTAGTTTCATATGAAGTTATTTTTTCCATATATTGATCAGATTCTAATAATTCATAACAGATAACATGATCCCAGTAAACAGGTGGATCATTTGCACCTAATTCAAGTGAACCATCTCGAAGTAAACATGATTTATCTCCAAATATAAGTCGTTTATCTATTGTTGGAAAAAATAATTAAATATTATTTCAAATGATAACTTTCTTTTATATTAAAAACGAATAAAATACTTTTTAAAATAAAAGTTCTCTTTTTGAAGAACGAGGCGACAAAAAAAAAGATAACGATAAGATAACTAAAACATAAAAGTGCATTCAACTTAAAAATACCCTTTTCTCCTATTTGTTTGTTATGAATTATATGAATGTAATATTATTCATTAATTTGCATCAAAATACACGGAGTTATAGATTTATTGTTAAATAAATCTAACGACTGATTCAGTTTTGATAATTTTTTTATGAAAGTCGTTTTTTGATATTGGATCTACGAAGGTTGCGTACGAGATTTAATATTCATATTGTATGGCGTGACAACAAAATACATATATTTTATCAAGGGGAAAAAGCGGATCCTTGTGGATCCTCATGAATGTTAGGATCCACCAGAATCTTGAGGATCCATCAGGATCCAAAAAATTCAGAGGATCCGGGGATTCAGAGGATCCATTTTTTCCACCCTTGATTCAAAGTTATTCTATAGGCAATAAATAAGAGCTCAAAACTGATAGTGATTAGTCGTTTTATCATTTTTCCTAATGGCAAATAATACTTTCGATCTGAACCACACATGGATTAATTACAGCGATAGGTTTTATGTAAATAATGAATATGTCATCAGTTGATTTCTAAGTTTACTAGGCCATGTCAACCTGCTTTTGCAAATAAGAGTTTGAAAAAAATTAGTTTTTTTGTTAACTTAAATTCAAGAAATATATACCTTTTAAAGTTAAGAGTTTGTCATGCCATTTATCAATATACAAAAATAATGTACGTAGACATGCACAAAATTGTGAAACAGACCAATCATCTCTATATTCAATTGATTTAAGTTTAAATCGTTCTTTAATATCGTTAACTTTATCACTAATTTCATTCATTAATTCTTGATGCCGTTTAGTTATAGTACGTGCTGCTTCAACATTGTTTGTCAACCATGTTCTACAAAGTATTAGAAACTAATTCCATTAAAATAAAAATAAAATTTTCAATCTTACTCAATTGATAGCTTAGGAATTTTTGCAAAATCATACATTTTTTCAATTTCAATTACTCTAAAATGAATTTCATTTTGACCTGTTTGTTTTTGTATTTTTGGTACATCAACAACGGGTAAATCCAATGTATTTAATATAGTATTTACACTAGTTAGAAGATCTCTTGAATTTAATGTAACTCGATGAGGAGATAATGGTACTGGTGCAACTAGAATAATAAATATAGAAAAAAACCAAACAAATAATAATAAAAGAATTTTCTTAGCATGCTAACCTACGAGCAGATTTATTTGTTAATACTTTTGTAAAGAAAGTAACAGTTATCGCTGCCATATATTCTTTACGCTGTAATCCAGACAGATAAGCACTAACTAATTGTAAACTTTTTTCATTTACATCCTGGATTTAAAAATTTATTAGAATAATATGAGAAAACTTCTTTGAATTAAATTACTTTTTCTTTTGGATATTGTGTAAATAAATCCGGATGAACTTTTAAATAGAATTTTTTCAATGCTGCTGAAATCGTTTCTGAACGATCGGTTGATAAATAACAACGGATTAATATATTTTTATTTATATTGTTCAAACAATGAACTATTGAAAAAGAAAATCGTGTTAAAATCATCTAAAATTTAATATATGACGAACAATATATATAAATATATGTAATTACACTTGACAAAATTTAATTTAAAAAGAAAAAGAAAAGAAAAATTAAAATGCTGTCATAAGATCTCCAATTGAGTCTTTTTTTTGTTTTTCTTCCATTAATTTCCAATCGGATCCATTTTGATATTCATCAAAAATACGTAACTGAAAAAAAAGTAAATTTTCATAGATAAATTTCAATCACAAAATAAAAATCAATTTACTTTATCTCGAAGTTGTTGTAATTGTAAAAGCATATAAGATAATTGATTTAATAAATCAGCAAGAGTTGGAACATTTGCTTCAATCTTAAATAATTAAAATAATATAATTTAAAAGCAGAAAAGTGCAAATTTTTCTATATACATAATGTTTAAAATAACCACTTGCTTTTCCATGAACACTTGTATGATAAACAGCAAACGATAATTTTGAACCTTGGATATAAAAACTAAATGCAATGTTTTCTGGTATTGCTGGTGTAAAAATAGACTATAAATACAGATAAGATTTAAATAAAACACATGATATATATTTACTGTGTTTTTATTGCGTCTTAAATCATCAATACGTTTTTTCTTTGGTAATAAAATATTATCTTTTGCATTATTAATACAATCAATAATTAAATCAAGATATTGAATTGCTTTGTATAATTGATCAATATTACGTTCGAAATCTGTTAATTCAACATAATGAAAAGCACGTTCAAGATGTTGTCGACATTCATGTAACTAAATAAAATGGATAATCATATATTCTTGTTTCTCTTATGATATAATTTCTTTATTTACTTGTTGAAGAAACCAATATTTCATCTGTTGTGTTGCTATACTAGTTCGAAATGCATTATTCATAGGTGGTTGAACTTTGGTTCCTGCTTTGTAAACAACATCCTATAAAATGAATTAGAATAATATTGAATAAAGTTTTTTTTATTGATTTACAGCTGCCGTAATATCTGATCCCAATAATGTAACAGTACATTTTAATATTTCGCTATTCCTAAAAATAAATGAAATTGATTTGAATTTTATTTGAATAAAATGTTATTATTACTGAGGATGAGTTAATGATAGTAGAACGGGTTTAGCAGTTGTTTCTTCTGTTGCTAAAATAATTAAAGAAGAAAATTTTAGAAATATTTTTTTAAAGAACTTACGATCATCTGAACGTTTTAATAAACGAATGGAAGTCTATAAAAAAAATACATAGAATTAAGAAATCTTTCTAAAGAAGATAATTATACTTTAAGAATTTCAGTTGTTTCGACAAGAACACGATCGAAATCATTGGTCATTAAATCATTCAATTCACGATGCTAAAAAAAATTAAGAATCAAATATCTTCCAACGACTATTATCAAGTTAAAGATCTTATTAAATATGTAAATATTTTGAAACAAAGGATAATTCGATTTTTATAGCAATGTATCTTCAAAAATACCTACCAAAACATTACATTCTTCGATTAATTCTAATTGTAATTCGTCCTCCATAAAAAATACTATTTGTTTTTTATCTAAAGATAAAAATAAATATCAAATTAATCTTGATGAAAATATTTCCATTGAGTATTATTAATATTTAACAATTGAACGATGTTCGATTATAATCGAGTAACTATGTATTAATGAATTGTTATTCATGGTGAGAATTTACATCGATGTGTTAGTTTTCACACTACATATTTAATTTATTCTATTCGATGCAATATATATTAAATGCCAAATAATATTCTATAGTAGTACATGAAAGTTTAGTTGATTCATATTTGTAATTAATGTCATAGATTCTTTTGATTTTTAAGATGTAATTAAATAAAATTTCTATTTGTTTTTTTAGTATAACGATAGGAATTTATTTATAATCCCAAAAAAATTGAAGATTAATATTTTTATATAATCTATCATTGAAAAAGAAAAAGAAGAGTAGAAAATAAAATCTTTCTTTTTTTTTCATGCTCTATTCTTGTTTTCTTTTTCTCATGTATGGTCGATAGAAATAACCAATGAGATGTTTACCAGCTAAAATCTTCAGCTAAATAAACCTATATCATCATCGAAGAACGAACAAACGAACAAACGAAGGTGTGCTTTGCTTTGTATATTTATTTCTCTGTCTCTCTCTCAATGCACACACTCGAAATCCAGTATAACGACGAGTAAAAGATAAGCGTTCGTGTGTCTATGCGGAACAACATTTATAATATATATATTTAAATAAATAATAAATAACAATGTAAGTTGAAATAAAAAATAACTAAAATAACCTTTTTTCTATAGAGTTTCAATGATTGTCGCTCCACATATAACTTCACAACAGGTATATACATACATACATATATAAAGAAGAAGAAAAAAACAGCAATAAAATATTTATTTTTGATTAGGGTAAAGTTGATCCTGAAGAAATATTCGAACGACATGATCATATTGGTCGAGGATCATTTGGAGTATGTTAAAAGATTATGATTTTATTTATTTATTTATTGAATATTTTATGTTTTTTTTTCCTAGGAAGTTTATAAAGGTATAAATAAAAAATCATCCAATATTGTGGCAATAAAAATAATTGATTTGGAAAAAGCTGAAGATGAAATTGAGGATATTCAACAAGAAATTCAAGTACTTTCCCAGTGTAATTCACTCTATATAACAAAATATTTTGGTTCTTATTTAAAAGTAATAACAACAAAACAAAATATTTTCTTTAAAAAATATATTGTTGTTTTTTCTCTTCTATCAACAAAGGGAACTAAATTATGGATTGTTATGGAATATCTCGGTGGTGGTTCAGCACTTGATCTAATGAAACCAGGTCCATTTGATGAACAGTATATTGCTATAATTTTACGTGAAGTACTCAAAGGTCTTGAATATTTACATTCGGAGAAGAAAATTCATCGTGATATTAAAGCAGCTAATGTTCTTTTATCAGAACATGGTGATGTTAAATTAGCTGATTTTGGTGTTGCTAAACAATTAACAGATTCAATTAATAAAGGAAATACATTTGTTGGTACACCATTTTGGATGTCACCAGAAGTTATAATGCAACATAAATATGATTATTCAGTAAGAATAAGATTTAAAAAAAGCAAAATGAATCTTATTTTTTCTATTAACTAGGCTGATATTTGGTCACTTGGTATAACAGCAATTGAATTAGCTAAAGGTGAACCACCATATTCAGATTTACATCCAATGAGAGTTTTATTACAAATACCAAAAAATCCACCGCCACAATTAGTTGGAAATTATTCGAAATTTTTTCGAGAATTTGTTGAAGCTTGTTTACAAAAGAATCCCGAACATGTAAATAGAAAAACAAATTATAAATAAATTTATTTCTTTTTCTTTCGTTTGTATTAGAGACCAACAGCTCAACAATTACGTCGATTAAAATTTGTATCATTAAATAAATCAACTAGATTTTTAGTAGAATTAATTGAACGTTATAGACGATGGAAAGAAAATCATAAGAATGGAGGAGGATCAGATAGTGGATCAAGTTCAGAAGAAGATGCGTAAGAAAATTTGATTTTAATTAAAACAAAATATGAATATATGTTTTTGTTTTAGACCTAAGGATAAAACATTTCGGTGGAGATTCGACGATGATACAGTTAGATTATCATCAGGAAATGGAATCTTTCCAGTATGTATACTTATTATTTTATAGATGAATAGTAGTTGATGATGTATATCATTCATACGATAGTAATATTATAATAACGAGGCTAAATCAATTGTAATCATGATGAGTGTGAGACCTATTCATCTTTGTCTTCATTTCGGAGTTAGTCAATTAGATTATGATTGTCTCGACAAACAATATATTATTTTTCTGATCAACATGTGTATATATGCATCGTTCGATGTTATCTTTAAAGCCATAAATAATGAGTATAGATATGTATTCATGCTATTTGTAGGATTCTTTTCTTTTTATAAACCCATATATAAAATCAAACAAACTTAAGAAAAATTTAGTCAAAACTCTTGCACAACAAGATTTTTAAATTACAGCATCATACTATGGTTGCATTTTCTATTTTTATCCAAATAAACAAAACTTTCTATTTTCTTTCAAAATGATTCATAGTTTCCATTTTGTTAGATCATCTTAAACATATTAGTCATTCTATTATCTATGATATCATTTACAATAGTTTATAAAAGATTTAATTTCTTATTTTAATTTTAGCCTAATGAAATAATTGAATTAAATCCAGTATTTAAATCAATTTTTGATGATGTATGTTATAGAAAACGTTTTTGTTTTTCGTTATTGATTAATATGATTATATTTAGCTTTCTATTCGTTTTAATATTCCAACAACAATGTCCCATAATAATTCATCGAATGGTGTTATACGTAATACGCAAAATGGTGTTGAATTATTTCAACATTTACGTCGTATATTTGATAATGCTCAAATGCGCTATCCAGGTTTTAGTGATGAATTTATTCGAACAATGCGTGAACATATATCAAAAGTAAATAATCCACCATCAACAACATCATCATCGAATAAAAATAATTCAACAGCAGATGATAATAACAGTCAACTGTTACCTGGTGTTGTTAAACTGAGAATTTAAATTTTCTTTTCCTATTATTTCTTTCTTTCTTTCTTTCTCTCTCTCTCATTGCTCGATCAGATAAATCTCTTTCTACGAGTGAGACATGTCAACTTCGTTCCAGACTCTACATATATGAATATATATATATATATAAACATTATACCATATTTATTCAATGTACATATATTTTCATTTCAATCATTCAACAACGGCAACATATTTCATTCATTTGTTATCTATACCTACTAAATTTCATTCCTAGAAAACCAAAAAAGACAAAAAAAAACATTTCTTCTTATTTATATACATAAATATATGTACAACAGTGATTCTATTTTACGTTCTTTTGTTCATCACTATTAGCTTTCTTTGTCTTCTTTTGATTATGGGCAAACTCAACATTGGTTCGCATTACTTTGGCCGGCTTGGCTGGAATTCTCCTCTTTTTGTTCTATTTTTTCGTTATTTGTTTCTTCTTCTTCTTCTTCTTCTTCTTCTTGTTCTTATGTACTTGCGATATTTGTGAAATGAGAAAAAAAATCGAAAAGAACCCGCCTTTTGTTTTTTTTTGTTCCTTGTTTCTGGCTAATGATACTTATTTCAAATATAAAAATCGCGAAACAAATAGATCTTATAAAACAAAACAAAAAACTATCTTCATATTAGATATAACATGAAAATAGTACAAAATGTTCATGTTATTGATTTTCTCGTTGAAACAAATCTTATAACTATAGTACGTATCTATTATTATCGAAATATGATTTTGTACAAGATAATAAATACCTATTAACAATTGTTTTTAAATACTATATTTTTATTTTATATAATTATTTGATTTCACTTGACGATTTTTTTCAATGATCACTAAAGCTGATTATATGTTAAAAATAGTAATTAAAAAAGAAGAGTTATCAAGACTAAATTTAAACTTCAATTATCTACTGATCGATATGGATGAATTTTGATTTTAGTTTTGCATTAATGACGACAGCTAGTTGATTAATTGAACCGTTAACTGTATGTCAATAGACATAAAATCGAGATATTCATCAAATGAAAGTATATAATATATTTTTTAAAAAGTCGTAGATTAAAGTTAAAAAGAAAAATAATCGTTGAGTTAGACATTTCATGATCTATGTTATTATACTAAATGTATATTTATTAATAGAACTATTTTTAGATATTTAATTTCTGAAGATAATGTCAGAAGAAGCAAATCACACTGTGGCTCGAGCAGAAGCAAATGCAAACCAAGCAACAGCTGATGAAAATGTTCGAGAACTTCGAAAAGAAGAAGAAGAGGAAGTTAACGATGATAGTGATGATGAAGTTGTAGCTACAACAGGTAAACCAGAACGTCCAATAGCAATATCAAAACCCAATACAGATGATAAAGATGATAAAGTTAAAAAAGAACCACCCGAAATGAATATTCAACTACAACATTAAATACAAGGTTTATATGCATGTATTTATTCAAGCTTATGTTCACATTCCTGCACTTTTTTTGTCTTACGGTTTATTTTTCTTTCTTTGGTTGTTCATTCGTTCATATGTTAGCTATTCCTGCAACGTTTTTGTTCGATAAAAATAAAATATTTTTGACCTTCTTTTGTCGTTCATTCTATATCGATTCGAAGACAAGATATAAAACCGATAGGCTTTTGTTCTCTTTATTCATTGTATGAACACATTGATATTATTTCACATCTATACGCTTTGTTTATTGATATATATTTGTGCGAGATGATGTATAGAGAAAAAAAAAGTATATATTCAAATATTTGATATCGCACTTTTTATGTATGTATTTTTTTTTCCATAAAATCATACCATTGAATAAAAAGTCAGTCTCCGATAGTTAGTCAAGCATGCAGTGAAATATCTATTATTTTTTTACCTTTTTTTATTCGTCTCGGACAGCGGCGAGACAAGAAAAAGAATGTACGTCTATATATATGTACACACACAGAAGCAGAAACAGAAAAAAGAAATAAGGGTAACACACAAATATAGTTATAGTAATAATAATATAGCAAATTGTAGTCTCGGCATTTATAATACGCCTTACATACGAAACAAGAAAAGAAAAAAAACAGAGGAAGAAGAAAACAAGACAACATCGAAAAAGAATAGAAGACGAAATAAGGAATATATTATCTGCAATGAATGATGAGATATAGAGAGAAGATATGTCTACAGGATACACACACACGAAAAAATAGATGTTATACCATTATATACATGCATTTTTTTTTAATATTTAGTTTATTTTTTGGCAGCGGCTTTTTTTGGACTTTTTGCTTTCTTTGTTGTTGCACTTTTACGCGCTTTTTTTGCTGCTGGTTTAGCTGCTGGTTTAGCTGCAGTGCTAGTCGATGTATTTGCAGCGGATGAGGCTGCCGATGGTGCTGCGGCGGCAGGAGCAGCAGCTGGTTTTTTTGCTTTAGATTTTGATGCACCGGCAGCTTTTTTCTTGGGTGATGCAGCTTTCTTCTTTGGACTTTTAGCTTTCTTAGCACCGGCAGCTTTTGGTTTAGCTGCTGCTTTTGATTTTGGTTTAGCTATATTAAATGAAAAAATAAAATATATTAAAAAGTCTTTTTTTTTCTTATAATCAACTAACCTGCTTTAGCCTTTTTAGCTGGTGCTGCTTTCTTTGTAGCTGCTGTTGTAGCTGCAGCAGCACTAGGAGCTGGTGCAGTTGATGCAGCAGTGGTACTTGCTGCTGCTGTTGTAGTAGGTTTGGCTACCTTTTTTGTTGCTGCTTTTTTAGTTGGAGATGCTGAACGTTTTCGTTTGGCAGCACCACCGGCAGCTTTACCTTTGCTTGATGATCGAGCTGTTTTGGCTTTAGTTCCACTTGCCTTCTTAGCACCACCTGGTGTTTTTGATCGACTACGCGATTTTGATGAAGCTGGTTTCTTAGCAGCTGTCTTCTTTGCACCACCAGATGATGCACTCGTTTTCGATGTTGTAGCTAATTTAAAACTTCCACTTGCACCAATACCTTTTGTTTGTTTTAATGAATTATTTTTTGTGCCAGCTCGTAATGCGGATTTTAAATGTTGATTAGCTGTTGCTGAATTAACTTTAAAATTAGCCAAAATATATTTTAATATAGCTACTTTTGATGTACCATTACGATCATTTAATTGTGTTATTGCTTGTTTAATCATAGCCGAAAATTTTGGATGAGAACTTGAACCTTTAGCTTTTTTGGCTTTATTTGCTGAACCAGCAGCAGCTTTTTTCTTGCCTTTAGCAGCTGCGCCAGCATTACCTGATGCACCATGTGATGTATTAAGAGTTGATGAACCACTAGTAAGATCAGTCATTGTCTTGAATTATTGAAGATTTCTTTTTGAAAAGATGAAATGAATATGAAGCAGAAAAACTTGTATGTTGTGTGTGTATGTATGCGCGCGCACGAGAGAACGATGTCGATAGAATGAATGAGAATGATGGTGGTAATGCTGGTGTATGTGCGTCGTCGTCGACGTTGCCTTTTTTTCCTCTCCTTCCTTCTCCCGAAACGACTCGAACCGCACATAGGACACCTTTTGTCGTTCGAACTATCATAAGATTGTTCAAGCCTTCTCTGAAAAATTGCAAATATTTTCATAAAAATTAATTAAATAAAAAAGATTTTTTTATATCATATGATAGAAAAGACTTTTTTCTATCGAATGATATCATTTATAACTGATATTTTTCATAAAAACATAGAAAAAAATAAGTAAAAATACGACGAACAAGATGAGATTTAGCGCATGTTTGCCAAGAATTTAATTATTTTATTGAGATTAAAAAAATATTTTTTAATAAATTATACATGATTTGATAGAGAAAAGTGTCTTCTATCGAATAGCTATGTGAAATTTTTAAAACTCGTTCAAACGCGAAGGCAATTTTAGCAAAAAGCGAAGGATCTGGTGAACAAAATGGCCATACAAGAAATAACACACAACGGGACGACGATGTATTGCAATAGAGCATCATCGACGATGTTGTTGCCAGTTATTACTTATATTCTCATAAAGATTATATCTAGACAAATTTAAGAAGACGATCTAATCATTCAGCATACAGTCTTTAATTGAAATTAATTAGCATAAATAATAAAACAAGATAGATCTAATATTATACTATAGTTTACTACAAAAAATGACAAAAAAAAAAAAAGATTTAAATAAATTAAAATGAATGACAGTAATCTTTCAACTAGTTTCTAATAAATCTAAACGATTAAGTCGATCGAATATTATTATTGTTTATTTAATGATCATATGTAATCATTATTTAACAACTTATGCAAATATATTATTTGAAGTGTTAAAAAAAATCCATTTTTTCTTTTCTTTTCGAAATTAAAATAACAAAAGAAAAACCAAAAAGACAAAAAGAAAAACGGAATCTTTTTGTTGTCTTTCTCGTAGTGACAAGCGTGAATAACTTTTTCAATGTGTTCATTTATTTTGATAAGTATCTATGACATATTATTACATAAACGTATATAGATTGGTTTAATCTACTATAGAGAAACGTTTCGTTCATCACTAGAGTAAAGAATATATATATATGTATGCTATATTCCTGTTTATCAGTAGGAAAAGGGGAAGAAAAAGTTGTTCTGTTAGAAGGTGGTCTAATCAATACGATATGTTTACCAATCGATATTACGATCAGAGTATCATGTCGTTTTTGAATAGAGAAAATACAACGTTTTCAAGGTCAAATATAGAGAAAAAAAATAATATTTTGATAATTATTAACCCTTTCGGGATTGGGGACGCTTATCAGTGTCGAAATCGTTGTCTTCAAAAAATAAGAACACGACATGAATAAATGAGTTCAAAGTAAATTGACATGCATAAGGTCATCGACAATGTGACAGGCTTTTTGTGAGCGAATTGTTTCCTTTACAAAATATTATCACCTAGACATAGAGAAATCAATCGATTTTCTATCAAGTTTCATGTCTTATAATTTTTGAAAGAATAACTCCGTCCCGAAAGATTTAATATTAGAATCGTTGATTGATTAGATTTTCCTCTTCCTTTTATTTATATTGTTTTAAATACGAGAGATTACTGATTGTTTTTTTTGAAGTATATAGGGGTGGATTAAGCATGATAAGTAATTATAAAAAGATTAAGGTACATCAGTTGTATAAAAAAGAACATATGTTCGTTCTTTTAGACTCGTCGAGTTAATGTCGATGTTATTTCAATTATTTTTTTTTCTTGTAAATATAGAAATGGCATACCCATATATTAGAAAAAATAAAATGTGAATGTATTGCAATTCGTTTTTATGAGTGTGTATGTGACGAATGTTTATCTTTGTAAAATTCTGACACTTGATAGTTATGCTGTTATGTCATCAAAGAGTGCAATGAAAAAAACGACAACATCTTAATTGTCATGGTTAAGAATAAATTGAATCGCATAAGTTTAATATATCTCTATAGAAACGAATAAGACAATAAAGATAAGCGTGAGAAAATTTTTTTGTTTCACACATGCTATAGAAAATTCTTCCTTCTGATTTAACAGAATAATAAAGAGAAAGTTGCTTTTTTTCTTAAGTTAAAATAGAATTATTATGCTAATTGAATCATTAAATTTTAAATAAACGAATAAAATCGTTTAATTCTTTTTTTTGTTCAATACAAAGAAATAAGAATACATTTTTAGAAGTTTAATTTTAATGAAAGGAATAATATAGAAATATCTCACTTTAGTAAAAATATTTTTTTTACTATATTGATTTTTAATACATATGAATATAGTTAATTTGAACGATAATGTAAAGTCATTTGGTTGTAATATGAGAACTAAAATCTTTTTAAACTAAGAAAAAAACAGTTTTTTATATAAACTTAAAATCAACGAGTTAGATTTTGAGAAAATTGCAAACGCTTCACATTCCTAGTTGTAAACATTTGTTTTTTCAACAATTGTAGAATCAAGACAAGATTTATAACTATAAATCCATATCATTCTTATACGTGCGTTTTAATCCAATATGATAAGTCCCGAAGATTATTTTGTTACTGTCAATTTGTGAGGTAATTATAGAAAAGTTAACATTGTTCTTGATCAATCTTTACTATTTTATATGCTGTTAAAGATTTGTCTAATATATATTGATACATCACTTAATGGACACATTTTTTGTACAAAATAAGTCATTTTGTATCTTGGTTTTTTCTTATGTTTTTACATATATCATAGTAGATATATCCTTTTCTGTTACATGCGTCTATATAAATATACTGCATATACATACACATATATTAATACTTAGCAGTGTATCATATCTAGTTTCAGTTGTTTTCATCATGCAGTCAATTTTGTTTGTCTCCCCTCGATTCCACTTAGCTGACATATTTTCCAACAACTACAGAAAAATGTTTACAACCAAGAAAACGTTATTTCAAGAATTATCATACTAACATTTCAATTCAATTCACATACATTACTTTTTTAAAGAATACATAAAAAAATTGTATTAGTAAATTTTTATTTCTTTTCCTATATTTATTATCACTATAAACATACTTCTAAAATATATTATCACATGAGATAAATTAAAATGTTAAAAACTCAAATAATCCATTGTGATTTTTTACAGCATCTATCCGACATCTATCATACATAGATACCAACACAGTCAATAAACTGCTATTTCGTATAAATATGAACATGAATAAATTTTTACTATTTAAAATTGATATTAAGAAAAGATTGTCAAGATCTACTGTCTACATAAAATTTAAATACATATAACACAGATAAACTAATTAATCATTACAAACTAAGAAGTACATTTTCTAAAAGATAATAACATAAATCTAATTCAACTGAATTTATAACTTTGAAATATCAACTTTTTTTTCGAACAAAAGTTCATAGAGTCAAACTTCAATTATAATTATCAAGATATCAAAAATCTTATTTTATTTTTCACCATTAAATATATGTTTTCATTAATGGATATGAATTGACATTGATACTTTTATTAATTCAATCAATCATTCTGAATAAATCATGAAATGTCATATTAAAAATATATTGACCGAAAAAAAAAAGAGAAATCATTCTACATATAATAAAAATACGTTTCATCTTTTATTTTATTAACCAAAGAAAAGATTGAAATATTTATTTCTGTTATTGATTAATCATCCATATAATATATAAATTTCATATCTATCTCACCAGTTTATTTATAGACTAAAATAGATACAATAAAATGTCTCACACTTCATCATTCACTTTACAACAATTAGGTTCGTTTTTATTTTGTTCCCTGAATGAATATTATTTAGAAAAGAAAAAAACAACAACAACCAAGATACATCACTGTTAAACTTCTCGTTTTCTCTTCGAATTAATCGACAAAAAAAAGGATAAGAATAAAAATACTCTTCGAAATTCACACAAACACACGCAAACAAGTCATTCACAATCAAAGACAAAAGAAAACAATTAATAATTATATAATTATTAATATCATGTTCGTTAAAATTATTGTTAATATCGATGATGTTGATAAAGATAATGAGGAAAAAAGTTCTTCTTTTGATCGTCGTTGCATATTTGTCGTATCTAATGTTGAGCGTAAAGCAAATAATGGATTGCGTGCATTCTCTTCAAAAAAGAAACAAAAAAAAGACAATGTGAATAGGATTCTTAATCAACAGTAGCTCAAAAATATAAGATGATCATTAGAGTTATAATCAACACAAAAGAAAATCTTGTTTAGAAATGAATGAAATAAAAAATCTCATGAGAATGAATAACAGTTTTTATTCTCATCATCATTTTTCTATTGTCGTGATCTCATGAAGCGTGATACATACCAAGAACCTTGACATGAAATATTTTTGATATTGGCTTAATTGCCGTTAATACACAACTATAATAACCTTGATCAGATACATGAATATTACGTATTTCAAGATTCCAATATTCACGATTATCTCGTTCAATCATATGTGTTAAATGATAACGACTAAATGGAGTATATTTTAATAGATCAACAAATAAAAGATTAGTTAATTTTTGTGTATCATTCATAAATGTTACACGTGACCATGTAACCTATAACAAAATAAAAATACAATTAAATAGATATATATATATTTAGATTTTAATCAATTATATTTACATGCTGACGATTTTTATTTTGTATAATACATGATAATTTTGCTGTATGATTAACATACGTAATAATTTCATCTTGTGTTGAAATAATCTCAGCTTCAGAATCAGCTAATGTACCATCAACTTAGAAAAACAAAAAAATATATATAAATAAATAAATAAATCAAGTAAGAAATTGAACACTTGACTATACAAGGTCTCTGTCTGACTATATTTTATGATGCAATATATAAAAGTAAAAGTTCAACTACGGCAAATTTCTTTTCATCTCTATATGAACTATATCTCTCGTCAATGACATATGTTCCCGTGAGAAAGGCGAGAAAAGTAACATATTACTTGTATGCATAACATCTTATGATCAATGAAAATCGATCAGTCAAAAAAAAAGATATATAAATGACAAGATCTATATATTTTGTTCGTTCATCTTAGAATTATTAATTGGAAAAAAGAGAAGAGAGGTGTCATTTGGTTTTAATGAACATGAGTCAAAAGAGGGATGCATCCAGCTGTGTGTATCTTGCCTCAAGGTTTTTCTTCTATTTCGAAAGAAAACTTATTAAATGAATATATGTATGTATGTATATGCATATGAAAAGATAGATATATATATTTAGACATACTTACCGATAAGTAAAGTCATCACAATAGAAAAAAGAAGACAAGCAAATGCTGCTTGACGAACTATACCAACAGCCGTTACTGTCTGCTGTTTACATTCCATTGAACAAAAAAAAGAAGAATATCAAATGAATTTTTAGTTAGTTAGAAATAATCGTTCTTTCTTCTTTTGGTCTTCTTTTATATATTCTGATTGAAAATTGAATTTAACCCGTTCGAATACTAGTTTAGCAGATATGATAATCGAACATGTGTTAAATGCATCGGACTTTGTCGAATGATAATTTTCACAATGATAATGGTAATAGGAGATGTGGCAGTAATAGTAATAGTAGTAGTAGTCAGTCGAACGACGTTATAATACAATTAAACCATTAGATGCTTTCGTCTACAACAAAGAAGGGAGAAAAAAAAGAAAAAAAAAATGAATACTCTTAATATATATATATATATATACATATATAGTGATTAACATGAGAGCATACACACATTGAAAGCATTGAATGTGAGAAGACAATATATGTATATATATATTCAACAATCTGATGAAGAGAAAGGAAGATGAGTCAGTGCAATGTTATTGTACATGCAGAGTCATTTTTATCATTAGACTCTTTCGCTCTTCTCTACGATTAATCAAAGAAAAGAGAAGAGCAGAAAAATAAGCGAGATGAACGAAGCAGCTATCATTCAATAGTCATAGAATTATACCTGTAATCTTCTTTCTATATAGATAGTCGCAAGGGAAGAAGATATTATTCGAAAAAGAACGGACTCATCTACTATCACTTGCTGAAAGATGCATTTCATTAAGTTGTCTTCTGAGAACGTACATATACATATATATACATACTTCAATGCTCATCGTCGTCTTATCTCGATAGTGAGTCTAACGAGCTCTTCCAGTCACTCATTCATGTACACACACACATGTCTTATCATGTGCTGTTTTTTCGCCTGCCTACGTTCAATTCATTATGACAATCACGCAATTCCCGATCTCTCCGTGTATATCTATATGTGATGTGTACGAAGAAAAGTAGACGACGACAGGTTTCACACGCTGTCTATCTACTCGAGGGCATCACGTTGGTACATCTCGAAAAACATACATGTATATATATACATGCACCCGGATGTGATGGTATACTAATACACATGATTACATCATTCACCTGTGTAATTCTTATTCTTTCTATCTCACAGTCTGATCGATAGAAGATAATCGAACTTTTATTGTTGAGATATGTTTGTTTAGACACGGCGAACGATCTACTACTACGACTCCTAACCGAGTCTAACGAGTGATCGATCACACATACATATATACATACCGAAGCACGCAAGATAATATGGAAGAGTAGAAATGCAAAGGAAAGAATTGTTGATGGCAATGTCTTTTCTCGTCGTTGTGGCAATTGCAAGGATTCATCATAGAGTGATTGTTTTGTGTTGGTCTCAAACAAACACATACAAACGGAAGAGAGAGAGAGAGGGAGAAAGGAATTTCACACATCGTGCTGTTTAGATAAAATAAAACAAGAGAGAAAAAAAAAGAAAAACGGGAAGCAACTGTTGATGTGGAGATTCCTGATACTATATAGTGTTCAATGCATGACGCAATGTGAATAGCTGACTTTTAAAGCTTACCAAAACAAAAAAAATTATTCATGCAAGTATTGGTTAGCTTCAATTCAATAGAATGATGATTTGGAGTGGGCAACCAATCTATCGATTCAAGTTTGGTTATCAAACTCAGCTTATAGATTTTTAATAATCAACTATGACATACTTCTATGAATTTCCTTGTATCTTCGAGCGGTTAGATGAAGAACAGCAATGACAAAACCGAGCTAACTTCAACATAAGAGAAAAATCCACATCTTCTAAGTACTCACTTGTCATTGACTATGACTAGGAAATATATATGAAAAGGAAAATATAGAATATGGATGATAATGTGCGAGTATAAGCTTTCGAAATTAAGCATCAAGTTTTTTTCGACTGCTGTTGATGTTATACTCAACATAGATGATGATTGAACAACACTTTACACATCTATACACATTAAAACATTGTAGTAAAAGTGAAAGAATAAATGAAGCTCGCCGTTGGATGAACACAATATAATGTAACAATAAGAGTAAAGTCAGTAAGCGAGGAAGGGAGAGACAGAGAGAAGGAGAAGGATAAGAAGAAGAAGAAGGAAGAGAAAAAAAGAAAATGACATTGAACCTGCGACGTGATGTCCACTAAAGTCACGCATCATCAGTAATACCCCAAACAGAGGTGAAGGAAACGCTAGCCAGTTCTTCCGTTCGTCTCTCATACAGCTCAAATTGATTCATTCATTCAAATGTAATTGACCGTACATACATACATATATACACACACACACATATATATATAAATATATATTGCATAAGAATTAGAAGCGATTCTAATCTGGATAGACACAAATTGTTGCTTGTAAGAAGTAAAAGAGAAAAAAGTAATTTGAGATCTCAACCATTGTTATCATCGATATTATATCAAAGGAAAATTAGCTCAATTTCTTATTCGAATGAAACTCACTTACGTTGTCTTCATGCTCAAAAATGTGAATGTGCAAAGAATTCATGTGTATAAAGATTTTTTTTCCTCTTTCTCCGCCTCTGCAAGCATCAAACTTTCAATACGTATTGATGAACAATAAATAAATGCGCGTAAGAGAGAGAGAGGGAAGGACAGAGAGAGAAAGAGAAAGCAAGCAAGAGAAAAGAGAAACGGCATCGTGTTGCACCAACACTACTATCCATCTAAGTGACCCATTTCCGGCTCGTTCACCCGTCATCAGTAAAAACAGCAGTCTCATTAGAATAGAAAAACGAATACAAGGTTGACTAACGTCTACCGTTGATATGAACAAATCTAACTATCATCAGTTTTTCTTCTCACGACTCTTTCAAGTTCAATGAAGCACATCATTTGCACATCATAAGGAAATGAAAGTGATTTTCTTTGGCTTTAATAATGATAACACAAGTATATTGTCAATAGAGAGAAACTACGTGACGTGCTCTACATCCGTTTCCTCTATTACTTACATAGACATCTTACACCTTTTGTGATTAGGGATGCGACCGTGCACATCGGTCAGTGCACTGAAAAAACATAAATGGATATATATGTCGCCGTTAGATTACTTAATTTTCTTTGCTTTCGCTTCTTTTCAATGTTCTAATTTGATGCTTAATGAAGTGAACGAACAAGTCAGAATAAAAAGAAAATGAGAATGACAACAGCAGTACATGCGAGCTGTTCACTCAATTCTATATTAAGTAAAAACTAAGGGCGGAGAATATAGATTGAATTGAATTTATTATTCGATGATGATCATATTTCTCAGATGTTTAAACAAGGATTTTCATAATCAATGAAAATACAAAAGAAAAATGTTTGTGTTATATTTCACTATAGGATAAACCTTCGAGTTTGTTATTTCTTCGAAGGTTGTCTTAGTTAATGTTCATTGCAAACTTACAATTACATTAATAAGAAGAAGAAAAAAAAGAAGAATATATTTATAATACAAACTAAGATAAATGAGAATACAGTCATAATCAAATATTCCTATCAATGTAATGATAATAAAATTCTTTCTAGTGATTAGTAGATATAGGCAATATGATTTCATAACAGATGATATCGTTACTGATTTATCAATATATATGTTAATATTGTTAAGAAATAATAAAATGATCTCTGTGAGTTTTACTGTTGCGAAAATTTGAAATTATATTGTAAATATAAATATATCTCTTATTTTAATATATTATGATGAAGATAAGTATAACTATGCTCAAAAATTTTTTCAGTATTGGACATAGAACATACTATACTTTGTATTATTTATGGTAAACTATGCATAATTCATTCTTCGATAATCTTTTTATGACACATAAACTGTCAAAATTTTAATGTAAAATCAAACTTCTTTAGTATCCTAGTTTATTTCTTATAAAATATATGATAGTATCGATTATAGATATTCAGAATCAGATAATATTCGAGAAACTATGAATACATTCAACATTTCGTTTTATTCATCTTTACAATTTATTCTTTACGTAGTGATTCAATTATACTTTTATATTTAAATAGAAATAAACTTCATTTTTTTTCTTTTGCACTTCATATCAATCAGTTTTATACTATATGTATGGATTCATTTTCTTAAATCATCCAATCTTCTTCTGTATTTGTTATAAAAGTTTGTTGAATTATTTCTTGAAAATATAAACAATCTATGTGATAATATTTAATGAAAAGTCAATCATAATACCATGTTAAGTGCTCGTGAAGTCATAATGTTTCTCTCATCATATTCTCATAATCTGAAAGTATATAGAAAAAGAATACAAATGTTGAATATGAATAGGAAAGTTATCAATCACAATTACAAGGATTGTCTACTATTTCGCACATTATTTACTATCAAGGTTAGATGTCTACGATAAATAATTAGAAAGTATATTGAATTTTTATATTACTATTGAATAATGAAATACAAGCAAAGAATTATAAAAGTTTAAAATGTATAGAAGAAAAAATTCACCACTCTTTTTATATTACGTTTTTAAAGTATTCATTTACAAATATAAGAGAATAATGAGTTTTAGTTATAAGAACTAGTCATTAGCATTGAATAAGGAAGTTATCTTGTAAATAGAGATATTCAGCTGTGCTCAATTACAGCTCTTAGATAATTTATCAAAAGTCGATTGACGCTCAATCTATATGTTCATGTAATTATTCATATAAAACTTACGACAACATTAACATTATTATCTTTCAAGGCATAAAAAAAACTCATCAGTCAAATCTTGATAGATAGTTCACTGTTTCATCTTTATTATATAACCTAGTTCTCAAGTTCGAGATTCTCTCATTTATATACTTCTTTAATAATGTTGATCTCTTCTTCAAAGAATATTAAGAAACATAATTTTAATATCCTGTTCATATTTTTAATAATTCATATTTGACTTAACATTCTGTTTGCGATTTAATTCCATATTGCATTGACACACAAAAAAAAAGCCTATAAATTCTATAGAGATATTTGTGTGTATATATATATGTCCTTCGGAACACGTTATATAACGAATATATTCTTTTGAAAGATTTCTGTACACATGAGTCATTTGAACTAAGCGTTATAAATGCTCATAACTTAAAATCAATAATTTTCTTTAATATCAAACTATGAATATCTTACAAATCAATAGTGCTTTACCTATTGAATATGAAGAGAAGTTTTTTTTTTCGAAATATATCAGTATTCAATTCAATGATATTAATATTATATTTGAAAATTTAATATTCCTATGAATTATTCATTTTCATTTGACTCGATATAATCAGTGTCATATAATATCAGATTAGATACTTGTATAAACCATGTTCACCTTCTACAACATGATTTTGACACATTTATTTGCTTATAAACTAACTGCAAACACGAAGCAACATCAACAAAAGAATAAAGAAAAAAAAAAGAGAGAGAGAAAACACGAATTTGAATGCAACGAGTACGCTTATACATCAAACAGGCACACATATACAAGCTGAACTTGAGCGAGAACAAAAAAACAAAACAAAAGAAGAAAAAAAAGACAGAATAAGTAAGGCTGATGGTGTAATTATCAAGAGAGAAAAAGAAATGAAAACTCCTATTCACATCGATGTACTGTATTAGTCTTACAAAATAGTAAAATCAAATCGTAAAACATACAGTTAATAGAATTAAGAAATAGAAAACGACAAGAGAATGTGTCATAACTCGTATATTAAGTATTTTAAGATGACAAACATTCACAAAAAAAGAAGACAAAGAAATATAAGGATAATTAAAAGAAATAATAATCATAATCATAATCTGTCTATTAATTCTGACTTTTTGATTGTCAATGTCAGAGAAAGATAGACAAATAAGTACAACAGCAAAAACAAAAAAGAAGAAATACTGTAGAAAAAAAAAGAAAAAGAATTTTTAAAGCTTTCTTAACACACACACACACATACACATATATATACTAATCTAATTTTTGCCATTGCGTATTGAAACAAAACAAAAAAAAGAAGATTTTTTTTTCTAGCATATTATACTGTTGATAAATATAGCCTGACGATCATTCTTAAATGATACTATTATAAAATATTTTTTGTGTAAGATGTTTTTTGCAAGGAATAAAAAGAAGAGAGAGAAAGAGAGAGAGAAAAAGAAGAACAAGTAAAGATCAGACACGATTTTCTTCGTTCATTGATTTTATTTTCGTTCCATTTATATTTCCACTGGAGCCATTTCGATCACTGAAATATTCGATAGGGACGATGGCTAAAAAGAGGACAAAAAAACCAATTCAAAATCAAATTAGAAAAAAAATATTCAGTTATTTATTTTTTGTATGAAGAAGGCAAAAGCACAGTATGTGTATCTACGAAGAGCATATGCAAAGTGGAAGATCATTTGTTTATTTTTAGCTCTAGTGCAAATGATTGTTTCAATTATTTTGTTTCATCTTACCCACGCATATCATCGAGACCGTAGGCTGAAAAATATATTAATCGTGACTATGATATTATAGAAACTAATATGTATATATATATATATATATTTATATTTATGTCATATAGCTTTTACTAATGGGAAAAGAAATGTGCATCGAGAGAAATTTGATTAAATCAAAATAGAATATCATTTATGATTACATACCTCCTTCAGCATCAGTAACAATTGCTGGAAAATTTGGTCGTGTACCAATTGTTTCATGTTCAATTGTTTTACCTTGTAATTGTTCACCACATGCAGCACAATAAATACGAAGTGCATATGCTGGTTCACCATGTTGAAATAGATCAATACCTTATAGAAATACAAATATTATTTGTTATAGATATTATAATAGAAAAATAAAAATTACCTCGTAATTCTTCGTCTCTCGAAACTTTTAATAAACGAACTAATTTAAGTACAAGAAATAGAATTGTAATAAATATAGCAGTCCAGGCCATGACAACAGCTGCAGTGCATAATGAATTAAGTAATCCCTAAATAAAAAATGATTAAAATTTATGTTCTTTTTTATAATTTTGAAAATATTCTTTATTTATACCCGCCAACTTTCTCCCATAGTAATTCGATAGATAATTGACAAGGCATTTTCCTCATATCCACCATTAACACCTGCTCCAATTGTTCGTCGAAAGATTGGTACAGCAAAAATACCCCATAAACCTCCACCAATATGAACTACAAAATAAAATAAAAATTCGATGAAAAATAACACTATTTTTATTTTATGTATTTTACCAGCTGCTGTTTCAACAGGATCATCAACATGAAATTTAAGTAATAATTTACTCCATAATAAGAAACTTAATGCAGCAATAAAACCAATAACTATTGCTGACCAAGGATTATAAGCAACGGCTCCACCAGCAACAGCAACCATACCAGCTATAATTGAATTAACAGTTGATAAGAATACACGTCGTTTAAGATGACGAGCTGGTTGTTTCACTGCTAAAAAGAAAAATGAATAATCCAATTCAAATATATTTTTTTCTTTCTATTATCAAATTATTTCTTACATTCAATAAGACGTTGTAATATATAATAAGTTGCACCTGATGCTGCACCTGATAAGACTGTATTAATAAGACCATGTCCAACACGATCACCATAAGCTACTCCAGTAATACGATGATCAGCACCTGAATTAAGTACGAAAAAACCGAATGCAACAAGAATCGCACCAACTGATGTAATCTAAATATTGACAATAATACATTTTATTCATATTATGATCAATTGTATATTTACTGGAATACTATGACCAAATAAAGGTAATGCACGTGGTTCAAATCGGCCAAAACGTGGACCAAGAAAAATTGTACCTATCAAGGCAGCTACACCTGCTGTTAAATAAATTATTGCACTACCACCATAATCCTATTTCAAAAATTTAAATTATTATTATTAAAATATTTTCAATATCTTTTACTCGTGCACCAACAACATCACCAAGCCAACCATTACTACCCCACATCCAATGTGCAAGAAATGGATAAATAAATCCTATATATATATAAAGTTCCGAATGAAAAAACAAATAATTTTAATTAATATAAGATAATCATACCAGACATAAGAATTGAAAAAAGTACATAAACTATAACTTGACATCGTTCAGCGAATGCACTTGCTGCTATGTTTGTAACAAGAAATGTTAACATATAATGATAGAAGAAATGTATATATGGATCTTGATTATTTAAATTATAAACGTTATTTGAATTAGTAAAATTTTCAACGCCTGGATAACCCGCTTGATTATCAACTCTTGAACCAAACTTTTCACTAACCCAAAAACGTGTACCTAAAATAACATTAGGAGTACCACCAAAGGCAAATGCATAGCCAGTTACCCAATAAGCAAGTGCCGAAGTAACTAAAATAATTAATGATTAAAACAAAATCCAATTTCTCTTCTTAGTTTTTACTTACTAAAAATCAATAGTGTTTTAAAAAGACTATGACCTGCATTTTGACTTCGAACACCTCCTGATTCAATAAGTGTATAACCACAACTCATTACTAAATTATAATAAAATAATTATTTTTCTTATTTATAATGAAAAAAGTTAACTTACAGAAAACAATAACACCATTGAACAAAAGAAAGAAACTTTCAACTGCTTGTTGTATTTCGTCAGTTGTTGCCATAATTAATTTCTGTCGTTTAACTATTCAAATATATATATATAACTATTCAAGTTTTTTATTCTTTGTCTAGAATAAACACAGACAGACAATACATAGATAGAAATTTCAAGGTTCTTAAAAAATAAAAGAACTGTTGTATTTTTGAGGTTACAAACTAAAGAGAAAACAATAATTATATAGATAATAAAAATCCTTTTGTCTTTATATTGATTGATTTTCAACATATGATGCTCGTTATCCACTAACTGGTAAGATGATCTGTCTTCTCATATGGTGCTACCAGTATTGACTATGCAACAACATCATATATACATATAGTAATATATCATAAGAAATATGTTATCAATTCTTCTCTCTATACATAACATATACTTATTCTAGTTGTACGTGTAAAAATGTTGAATAGAATTAATCTATCTTGAATTAATATCCAGTGAAACTATTGATATATTTATAAAATTATCAGTATATAGACGAGTTTAATATTAATTACTCACTGACTTGAATAGAGATCAAACAAAAAAAAAAGAGTAAAAGTATATTGTCGGCTGATAACTCGAACAGTTTAACTTTTATTTAATGCCAAGTGAAAACGATAAAGATATGTAGTCCGAAAAAATAACAACATAAATGCACAAGAGAGAAAAAGAAAGTGAAAAAAAAAGAAGATCTGTTTTCTCTTTCACTTATTCTATTGCCGCTCCTAACGTAAAAGAATAGTCCAAGCACGAACGAAATGACGTAATCCGATCTTTCAAATGCACTCAATCATTTTTGTTCGTACTGCTGAAAGAAGACAACAAGGCACTACGAGTATTGTTTCTGTACAGACGCCATTATAAAAAAAAAAAGAAAAGGGAACTAAAATAATCATAGCGATATTGAGAAAATGAAAGCGCATAGACGTACATATAATATAATATATATATATATATGTTTTATGGCTCTAAGCAATGATTGTCGAAAAGAACATATAACACAGTTATACATATTTCGAATGCTTTTGTGCTTCCTTTTTTATATGTCTATTATTGTAACTATTTGAATAAATCTACACGTACCTAACGTTTTTCTTCTCTCTTATGTATGCCTATTGATGCCAATAATATAAAGAGCAAAAAAACGCACTATAAGATGTATTTGGTTGATTTATCATTTAAATATGATCGTGACAAATATCATATATCTACTTTTTTTTTTGATATCTTTCTTATTCTGACAGGACAAGATAGTCTATAATATGTTACTTTATGAATCTAATCTCTATATATGATAATATCATTAAAAGCTGGTCTACTCTTCCGTTTTTTTTCTTCACCATCTCTCATCTTTTTAGACATACCATGATTAATAATTATCGATGATTTGTATCAACAGTTCTTGTATATGAATATACAAATGGATTAGGCCTATTATCATTATTCTAACAATATAACCCTATATTTATAGAAGAAAGACTGTCATACCTAAATCAATCTATATGAATAGTATTCCTTGGTCGATAGCAATACTAACAATTAGAATAGCTCTCAAAATAAAAATTATTTTCTATTTAATAAAGATAACGCAGATTTGCATTGGCCAATTATAGATGAGATTCGGAAAGAGAATTCTTTTCTATTATTTTATTACTCTAGCCTTTTTTTTTCGTTGGTTTTTCCTTAATATGATGATGGCTCTGATTCATATGCATAACATGAGATGGATGTTATTTGTTCTCTTGACTTAATTGCGTCAACACTATTCATCTTTTTCTCATGACTAGTTCGACTCATCATCAGTCGTCGATTCAGTCACAGCTCATCGATAGTATGAATATAAATAGAAAGAAAGAATTATGAAAATCAAAAAAAAGAAGAAGAGATTTTCTCGTTTTTGGATAAATAAGATTTGGCTTTAGGACAAGCGGATACTGTGCATTTCTCTCTCTCCCTCTTTTTTTCTGCTATCTTCCTGAATGTTGTTCAATTCTACTTTCTCTAGAGATTTAATAATCATGCAAATAATTTTCTATATTGCATTCTTTTTTTTCTGCTCTATATTCTTTTTGAATTAACTAAAAATATGCCAATAGTGTCATCATTCTTTGATCTTTCTATTGATATAAAGCAAAAGAGTACAATAGAGATCCATTTTGTTCCAAATGAAAAAACTCAATGATCTCGCGTTCTCATTCTCTGTCTCACTATATATAAACTATAATACTATTTAGCAATTCCAATCGAGCTCTTTCGATATTAGTTATAAAATAAATCCCTTTGGAATAAAATTTTGAAATGTATAGTTTTTCTTTGTAGTAATAAAAGAAAAGAAAAGAAAAATAAAACTTACTATATTATTACTGGAGATAATATCTCTTTGAATATAATTTGTATTATTGAAGTGTTCGAAATGATGGCTATATTGGGAATAGATGGATTAGATACAATGAAATAACTGAATGTAAAACGAAGGAAAGAGAGAGGGAGAGAGAGAGAGAGAGTAAGAGAGGAAAAACGAAAAAATAGAAATGAAGACAAATACTTGAAAAAGACGAGTAAAGAAGAGAACGAGGAAGAAATAGAGGACAGCGAAAAGGTGAGATCCCATCATCTCAAAAGTGTGCTGAACCATATGAGTCTAGTAAAGGTCAAGTTTTACGAGGAGAATTACACTAGCACGTCGTGTTTGTATACAGGTGTCGATTGATTGTGAAGAAAGAGAAGAAGGAGAAGAAGAAGAAGAAGAAGAAGAAAAATGAAATAAGTAATAGGTAGTTTGGATGAATGATGAAGAGAAAAGCTCACCCTTACTTGTCATTATCAAGAGTAGCAATTAAATAACATTGATGTATATATTTGTTCGATCATTTTACATATCTATCAAGTCGAATTTTTAACAAAACGAATGAAATTGACCGAATGACTTAAGTTTATACGATTTGGCAATCGTAAGAGTTATGTATATTTTATGAAAAAATGAAAAGAGGAAATCGATCTATCTATAAACGTGAACGTGTTGTTATTCGAACGCTTAAAGCTTAACTAGTCAGTCAACAAGTAGAATATTCTTTTCTATTGCTGATGATAGTAATCGATTGAAATTCAAGAACAAGTATACTATCGATGTTGTCGATTGCATAAATCCCTTACGTATGCAATGTATGCCAAGTTCATAGACATACATACACATTCTCATACAGATCGATATATTCATTACCCGATCTTATACAAGTGTATTTGCTCTGTAGGGACAAAACTGACAATTATCAGGACACCATGTTCACATGTAAGAAGGTTACTTTTTTTTTACTATAACTGCTATAACTATACTATTTCTATGTGCTTTTTCACTCAATGCGAGAGCTCTCTATTGCGCTCGCGCGCGACTAATCCAATGTTTACTGGAGGAAGGCGGAGGAGGAGGAGTAGGAGAGTGAGTGTGCTTATGCACAATCGTCACAATACAATCATAATTCGTTGTCGTGTCCGATATAGAGACGAAATACACGAATCTTGTCTTTCTTTTTTTCTTCTTGTTTATAAAGATAATTGAATGTGCTATGTAGTCGGTGATAGTGGTCATCTGATACATGCACTTTCTATTCGTTTTTTTTATTATTATTCATTCACTCTTTTCGATATAACAGATTAAGCAAGTGTTGAAATCGCCACTTCTCAAAATCAGCGTTGTTACCTTTACAAAGAGGTATCGATGAACAAAGTGGTTACTGAAGCCAATATGTATCATTTTTCAAGTATAGATGTGCATGCATACTCTTTTCTTTTATCTTTGATAAAAGAGGAAGTAGACTTCTATACTTTTCCATCACTTACTTGCTTTCTCTTACTCTTTCGTAGCCTTCTTTTTCTAGTTCAAGATAAAATCGATTACATCTTCTCATAGTAAATGATAAATCATTTAAACACTTATAACACATCGCATACGTTTATATATATACTAAACAAAACGATGAATCATAATGATTTCTCTGTATAGCCAAGGCAAAAGAATGTAACAATTTTTGAGACACTAAACCTCTTTGCACAATATATATTACATTCACATGTATATATATATATTCAATATCTTCGACGATCTATGTATCTCAATGGTCTTTTATGCTATATCAGTATATGGATATATATATATATATATATATATATTATTTTCATCTGTCAAGGGAGATGAAGAGAAACGAGAAGAAAAAAGAATACATGTACAAGGCTGATCATTTTCGAGGTGTCTGTCTTCTATAGTCAGAGGTCAATATTTACTAATGTTCAAGTAAAAGACATTGAAAAAATAACGGAAGAAACCTCTTTATCAATAACTTTGTCTTCTTACCCTCTTTGTATTATTTGATCAACTATTGTTGTTCTGTCTGTCTGAAGTGGCATTCATCTATGTCCGGTGACGAGACTACTATATGTAGGGGTAGAGGGCATCATCTTCTTTTTACCATCTATCTTATTTTTCTTCTTCTTCTTCTTCTTTCCTCCTCATCGATCTTTTCTTTGCCGTATTTATAATGATCACGTCGAACACAAACATAACAAAGAACCAGCAGAATGAACAAAACAGATGGTCGTTCATATATGGACAATGATGATGATGATGATGATGGTATACGTCTTTCTTTACCCGTTTAATATGATGTGGCGTTTTCCTGTTTTTATCATAAGGTTAATCGTCTCCTGTGGTATAAGAACTAACGGATGAGAAAAACATTTGTCTAATGCATACCTCTATTCCTCTTCAATATAGTTGCCTCCAAGTTATTTCTAACTACACCACACATGTCTATGTATATGTGTATATATATATAAAGATGTTGTTGTTATTATATTTTGTGATTGCACATTTGAGAATAAAAGGAAATCAAGCAATCATAAAGAATAGCATTAACACATCAAAACTCTAATGATTTATTATGGTTAAACCAATGAAATTTTTATTTGTTATCGATTATTAAAACATAAAAGGAGATTTTTATTTTTTATTTTAAAGATAATACAAAC